CGAGCATATTTGGGAAATCCCTCAAGGTTTCGAGGATAATCGTAACACTATTTTAATTTTTATGAATAACGCCATTAGGGTATAGCTTATTAGGCGTTCCGCGCTTTTTAGGTTGAATTGTGTAGCTGAAGCGCCAAACGCCTGAGAAGCTTGTTGTGGAGTTGTAGTACAACTGTTGTACTCTAAATACGAGTTTGAAAAATAACCTGGATTGTGTTCATGATTCAATAATAATTGAATTAATTATTGAATCATGGATTGTGTTTAATCAAAACCAAAGCTCATTATGGTTCAAATCATTCCTTGTCTGAACATATGTATTTATAAGAACTGAACTCAAGTTTACCAAAATTAGGAATTTCTTATTTAATGTTAACTACAAATACTTATGTATGTATATTGATTAATTTCAGTTGAGTTTTATATCACTGAATAAGATTTTTAATTTCATCATATAAAACCAATACTATAGCAGCACCTGTTCCACGTAACACATTTGAAAATGCTCCTTTAAAGAATGCTAAAGGGCCCTCTGTTCGGGCGATTACTAGCCAGCAATGTGCTGTATTTTTATATATACGTTCATTGACTTTCAAACCGGACTGCATCATCATACGTCGTCGCACTGTATCAAACGGATATGAAACTATACCGGCAGCAGTTGTTACCGCTTCAGCTATCATAAAGTTGAGCCATATTGGAGCATTTTTGGGATCCGGTAAAAGTCCACGAGCTGTGTCATAGCAACCAAAATAAGCGCCACGATACATAATAATTCCTTGAACAGACACAATGAAACCACGATATAATCCAAGTATGCCGTCACTCTTGAATACTTTAACTATACAATCAAAAAGTCCATTGAATTCACGTTGCCCAGTTTTTCCAACATCTGCAGCCAATCTATTACAATTGAAGGAAAATTCAACAGTTTAAAAGTTTCCTTAAGGAAATTAATTCCTCAAAAGGCACATGAAAATTTTTCATAGAAATATAGCAATTATAAATTCTCAAATATAACCGTATTTATAACCATGTTTATAACAAAATTTAATTCGAGGAAACTTTGAAATATATTAATTTAGATATTTTTATCGAGGTTTGACAAATTAATAAAAAAACTTACCGTGTACGCGCAAAATCCAAAGGGTATACAAAGCAAAGTGACGTGGCACCTGCCGCCCCTCCAGAGAGCAAATTACCAATGAAATAACGTCCTGGCTGCTCTTTTTTATTAACGCCACTTAAGAATATCTTTTGACGCGTACGAATTTAAATTAGACATATAAGTATACATATTTTTAAACTATTCAAACAACTTGTTATGCTTACCTGCTTATATTTATCCTTGAAGGCAAAATTCAAGGCCTGAGTGGGGAAATATCTTATCACATTAGCTAAATTACCTCGCCAATAGGCAAGAAATCCTTGCTCTCGCGGGATTCGTATAAAGCAATCTATCATTCCCTTATATTGTTTTTCAGTTGAAATTTGCTTTGATATGGCTTGCACCTGCAGAAGTAATTTTACGCGTTCAATTGGTGCCATTGCGGTTTTAGCAATCGCTGCAGAAACTCCTCCAGCAAGGAAATCCTTAAGAAATGCCATCGAATCCGACATGTCTGATTTTTTTTCTCCTTCCCCCATTTTCTTTTTCGATATTCGAGTATAAATTAATTATATATTTTAAATATGAAATTTAAAAATTTAAATCCGAAGAACGAAAAAGTAGACGAACTGAATGCGATAAGGCGAAAGAAAATTTGAATAATTTTTTGAGTTATTCAAAAAAGGTTTCGGTAACAATTGAATGAACGATAACAGAAAATAAGTTAGCGGTGTTAATCCCGAATTGTAGGAACAGATGTTCCCCACGTAAAACTGAAGCAGTCTGAAGTTATATGTATGTGTCCAAGAAAATATATAAATATCGTCGTTTAAAGTACAAACCGCCCAGTAGATAATTTCAGGAGTTAAAAGCACTTCCGAAAGGCCTTCCTGAGAATCAAAAGGCCTTCCACTCTGCATTCCTTTCTCCTTTCGTTTTTGTATGGAGTGGCACAAATTGAAGGGCTTCCTCTTCGCTACCCATAGAAGGCCTTCCAGAAGGGCTTTTATAGGACGTACTTCAGAAGGCCTTTTGGAGGAGTTCTTTAAAGTTGCTTAATTTATAAAAATCATACATCTTTGAAGTATTTGCTTAAGGTTTATATCAAATATTTATTGTAACTTAAAATTTGTTTGTTTTTGTTTATCGGACTTTAAATTGTAAACTGATGTAATTTTTATTTTATAACCTCGAGGCCCAGAGAAAACATAAAACACAGGTTTGTTTGTTGAACTTAAAACCTGTGTTTTATGTTTTCTCTGGGCCTCGAGCTTATCAAATAAAAATTACATCAGTAACTTAAAATTTTTATTGGAATTCATTTGTAATGTTAGATAATATAAATTTGGCTGACTTCCAAAACGTATTAATACAATGTTTGGAAACTGTTATACTGCGGTATTCAAACTGTTTGTATATGCAGAGTTGCGACACATTGCAACCATATACATTGTATATTTTAAATATTCAATATAGCAATGAACAATTTTTCTGAATTTTCCATTTCTAAAACACGAATGCTAACCAATAACAAACGAAGCATCAACTTTGTTTCTGATGCGCTGATTGCTTTATACTTTGTACGTATGCAAAGTAATTGACGTTTTGGAAGTCAGCCTTTATGTATTCGCGTAAATTGTAAATGGATAAGCCCTTCTAGAAGGCATGCAAGGAAGTACTTTTTCAGCCCTTCTTGTGTAGGCCTCTTAGAATGGCTTCACTTAAGAAGGCCCACCTAAATTATCTTCTGGGCGCGTTTCAATAAAATTCAAAACCGCGTATCAAGATAATGCAAAACCGCGTATGTGAGTTAACATAAATTGTTTTCTAGAGAGTAAAAACACTCATTTCTAAATGGCTCTCTTTTTTATAAAGCTATCGCGTTTCTGGCTAGTATATTTCAGGACGAATGGAGCTTGAGCGTAGAGCTTGTGTGAGCAAATACAATTTTTGCAAAAAATGTCAGTTACGCGGTCTTGCACTTGTACTTTCAACGACGATATGTTCCGCCTGCCACTTTACACCATTGGTTCCTTGAAATTTTAAATAGTTTTTCGTATTGGGATAAAGAAAAATATTTGTGCAAATGCACTTTAGAAGTTTTTTGAGTATGCAGTTTCATAGCCCGACGGTGTTCTTCCATACGAAAAATTTTTGGATATTCGTTATATGAAAGCAAATGCGACAAAAAATTGAAGGACTATTAAAATATATACTCCAAAAAATTTTTGTACTTCTGAGAAAAAGGGTTGAAATTTTTATGAAAATTATAAGAGACCAATATAAATGATCCTCCATGAATCTCCCATCTCTACGATAATTCTAAGAGGTTGCGCCTTGAGCGTTTATTTTCCCCATAAATTACACGTAAAAAAATTAGTTCTGTTTTGAGGTCAATATAATTTTCTAAGATCAATCAAAATGCTCGAAACTGTAAAAATACATTGATTACAAGCCATTGAAGAATTACAGGCTCAGATTCTTAAGGAATCCAAACACTCGATGCGCGACCTCAGAATTATCGTGGAGGGTAGATTCATGGATGATCATGAATATACCAAATACTAAAATTTGATTCTTGCATTGCAGGATTTTTTTCGTTACGTGGTACAGATGTGTAGATATGTATGTCGTAGGCTGTCTGCTTAAAGATGTTTTCAGACGTAATAAATAATTTTTCAGTTTCTTGACGATAACATTAAGCCAAAAAAAAAAATAAAAAAATTAACAGAAGGGGAAATATGAACTTTCGATTACACTGTTCATATGCATACATACATATTTACATATGCATGATGCAAGTGTATGCACATTTACCTGCCCACCGCTAGCATAATATTGCATTAAAAAATCTTTTTACAATTTTTATTAATTTTTGTATTTTTCACTTTTCCGTTTTGTTTGTAGGTGAACATTTACTAATGGTTCATCATATTCTTGTTGCTGTTGTTGAATTACTGTTCTTGGTTATTTTTCGCCCTATCATTATCGTGTTGTTACAATTTGCAACCTTGTGTGTTTTACAATTCTTTATATCGCTTATTTCAATAATGTATGGTAACTGCTTATGTTTTGTTTTTATTTTAATATTTAAATTAAATAATTCTTTTAGCTCAATTAGGTAATAGGTATTAATTACTTTACAAGAATTTCTTGATTTCATCGTACAGTACAAGCACGAAAGCGCCACCAGTACCTCTGAGCACGTTGGAGAAGGCACCCTTGAAGAAGGCGCCAGTACCTTCTTGCTTGGCAATTGTGGCCCAGCAGTGCAGTGTGTTCTTGTAGATGATTTCGGTTGCCTTGCGACCAGACTGCATCATCATGCGACGACGCACAGTATCGAATGGATAGGACACAATACCAGCAACAGTTGTAACAACTTGAGCAATAGCCCAGCTGATGTAGAGGGGTGTGTTCTTGGGATCGGGCAACATACCACGGGCAGTATCGTAGAAGCCGAAGTAGGCAGCACGGTAGATGATGATACCTTGCACAGAGACACCGAAGCCACGGTACAAACCAACGAGACCGTCACTCTTGAAGGTCTTGGCCAAGCAGTTGCCTAGACCGCTGAACTCACGCTGACCAACCTTGCCGACATCAGCAGCCAAACTATAGTGGGAAAGAATAGATGAATTTGTAATATTAAATTTATAATTAAAAATAATAATAAAAGTGCCGAAAATTACCAGAGCGTTATTTTAATCGCTAAAAATACTTAAACTAGGAATTCAAATTCACAGTCGCATAGTTAACTATGTAGATTCATATCGCCTGAAATTATACTACTTAGAATATTTTTCTAAACAAGTCTTAAATTGATTCCACAAAAATAAATGAGATTTAACAAGAGTTCAACTCAAGGGGCATGTGAAAATCAATAGGAAAACCCTTGTCAGTTAACTACGCACTTTTTATTTTTTTCTGTCCGGCTAATGCAAATTATTTGCATAAAAATCGAGGAATTTGGAGACTTTTACTCAAAAATTTATGTGGGAAAATTTTCCGGTATTTCCATTTTTTTTTTTTCAAATAACAGAATTTATCAAATTCAAACCTACCGGGTACGGGCAAAGTCCAATGGGTAGACGAAGCACAAAGAAGTGGCACCAGCGGCACCACCAGAGGCCAAGTTACCCGCGAAATAACGCCAGAACTGAGTGTGCTTGTCAACACCACCCAAGAAAACCTGGAAAAATTGCATGAAAATTAATAAAAAATGTATATACACATAGTATACTATATACATTAGACTGCATCACTCCCCATACAAAAAAAAATCGGTACTGTTTTTCCATTGGAATTATAAAATCTATTATATTTTAAGACGTCCACCAAAATATTTTGAAAAAATATTAAGATTTAAGTGAGCTGGACCGATTTTAAAATTCCTCCAAAAATGGAGTTTTTTATGAATAAAAATAGTTTCTTAAAGATTTTTTTTAAAAAAATCCTCTCAAATGACAAACGGTTCAAGCTTAAAAAATTTGCATAAAAATATTTTAAAAAAATTTTTAAAAAATTTATCGGAATCGTAATGATGAGATTTTTGATGCTGTTTTTTTAACTTTTTTCAAAGATTGGTATAAGAAAAACTTGAATAACTGAACCTAAACTCTTCCGTTTTAGACTTAAGAGGTGTCATTGGAAAGGTATTTTCTCACCCTTTTTATTTCTTTGCTAATAAACTCATTCAAAGGATGAAAGAGAAAAGTAGGATGAACGAACTTCATTCAAAGTTGAATAAAGATGTTTTGGTGTTTGAAAAAAAAAAATTGGGATACAAATGACCTTTTTTTGGACAGAAATAAAAACAGTGTGAAAATACCTCTCTACTGAGATCCCATAAGTCTAAATCAGAATAGTTTTGGCCCAGTTATTCAAGTTTTTCGTAAATCAATCTTTGAAAAAAGCTAAAAAAACCGCATCAAAAATCTCATTCTTACGATTCCGTTGAAAATATTTTTAAATATTTTTATGCAGATTTTTTAAGCTTAATCTGTTTTGTCATCTGAGGGGACTTTTTTCAAAAAGTTCTTTAAGAAACTATTTTTATTCATAAAAAACTCCATTTTTGGAGGTATTTTCAAATCGGTCCAGCTCGCTTAAATCTTAATATTTTTCCGAAATATTTTGGTGGATGTCTTAAAATATAATAAATTTTGTAACCCCAGCGGAAAAACGGCAACTTTTTTTTGTGATGCAGTCTAATATACATACATATGTATAGTCCATATAATATGCACAAAAATTTAGAATAGTTCATAACAAACCAACCCACCTGTTTGTATACATCCTTGAAGGCGAAGTTCAAAGCCTGGGTTGGGAAGTATCTGATAACGTTGGCCAAGTTACCACGCCAGTATGACAGAAAACCTTGCTCTTTTGGAATGCGGACAAAACAATCAATCATACCCTTGTATTGCTTATCAGGGCTGATTTGCTTTGAGATGTGTTGAACCTGCAAGAGCAATTTCACACGCTCAATGGGTGCGACGGTAGTCTTTGAGACGGCAGCGGAAATACCACCGGCAGCGAAATCCTTGAGGAATCCAAAGGGATCAGCAGTTTTACCTTCCTTTGCCATTTTGCTGAAAAAAAGTTAAGAAAAAAATGGTTTTATAAATTTCGTATAAAGTGTAGAATTTTTAGGAATATCACTTTTATCACTTTTTTCAAATCTACGTTTGGCAAGCGTAATCACATGTCAATAGTATGGTGCTAAAAGATTGTTTTCATATCAGCTTAGCGCGCGACATGCGTGACATCACCTAAAACGAGCAGCGAACGACAGACGTAGCCGAACGAGACATGCGCTTAATATTTGCACTTGTGCACTGCAATGGGAAGTCGGTACTATTTCGCGATAACAATAAATGTTATGAAATTTAAAAAAAAGTATTGCAAATACATGACAATTCAATTTAGATCGCAACTAAAAATGTAGCTCAACCAAACTGGTTTTTTGAAGATAAGTCTCGTTGCTACGTCTGAGTCAGTGCATGATCGACAGTGTAGCTCGGAGCTGAAACTTCTGGTTTAATTTTCTAGCACGTGGTGTGGTTTTTTACTTATGTACATACATATGTGCAAACATACAAATGTGGAAATTTATAAGCCAATCCCGTTACCAAGCCAAAGTCGTATGCATTTTACTTTTTTTTTGTGCGTTTGAAAATCTCAAATAGTCTCAAATTACTTTTTCCTCATTATAAATAATAATATGTATTAATTTATGTTCTAGGCAAATCACTTTCCATCATTTTGTATGTAAAGCTTCATATTCTTCCAACATTAACTTTGGTTAAGATTTCAACATTTGTTTTGTTTGACACCTTAATTGTTTACGACTCATTACTTATGCGCCGATGCAGATAAATATGCAACGTATAGGAAGTGAATTTAATACCAGAGCTATTCTCGAAGTCTTGCAAAGCCCTTGCACGGTGCACGGATTGCATGGTAAAAACCGGGTTTCCTATGGGACAGCTTTGCACGACTTCGAGAACGCCCCTACTGTGTTTATGCGTTTGTATCCCAACGATGTCAAAAATAGTTGTAATTTTTTGAACGTATACAAATTTATATACAAGTTTCCACCCATTTTTCTTTATTGTTGATTATTTAATTTATTTTTAACCGACTTCACACAAAGAAGGAAGGTTATCTATCAATCCGTTGGAATAATGTATGTTACCGCATAACTTTGGACCACGTCAACCGATTTCTATAATTTTTTTTTTTTAAGGAAAGGTGGTCCCATTCTAATTTGGTTTTCGGTTTTGTTTTCTGCTTAAAAATTACTTGTTTTGAATTGAATTAAAAAAATAAAACTTATACAAATTAACAAAAAAGTAATCAAATTGTAATATAAACAACAATTCAGTGCCTTGCACGTAGAAAGCGTTAAAACGAAATTTTTTGCTACGCCAAAAAAAAAACTTTTAGTTAAACGCTTTTTTTACAATTGTTAATTCACTGCCAAAAACCGCACAATTGCAGCCTGACGGCCAGAACACGCAGCCAATATCAAGATCAGCAAAAAATTTTAGATTTAAATTTAGAACTCGTTCAAGTGTGTTAATTGATGAAAGAGCAAAAATGCGCAGTGTATGTACAGATGTATGCCGTGCGTTTTTTTTCTTTCGAAAATATTTGTATGTATGCATGTACATATGTATACTATGTTTATGCGAAAATGTATCCGTTTCTTCTTTATGTAATCAAAAACAAAAAAAAAAACTACAATACATTATTTGTTTGGTCGCTAGAGACTATTCCAACAAAATGTCTTATGCAAACGAATGCTGTGAACGACCGCTGTGGCCTTGAAATTAAAAAAAAAAACAAATGCAATATAATGTATGCATTATTTTATTTATTGCCAATTATTTATAATTAAAAACAAAACAATGTGTTAAAACCTTTAAAAGACAAATTTATAATTTTTCAAATAAATTACGGTTGTTAATTTTTTTTTGCAATTCTTATTTTTTCATTGTTGATGTAAATACATTATTAAATTCAAAATATTACAAATAATTAAAATAATCAAACCAGTTGCATACCAGTTTGTTGAAATAGGCATTTTTTATATTAACTTTCAAATAAAATCTTTTTTTTTATACTTTGAAAATTAACATAATACAAGCCCATAGTCTTTCTAGAATCAATGCTAAGTTCAATAATTTTTTTTTGTTTATTTTTTTTAAGTTAAATGAGATTTCGAATTATTACTTTTTAATTAATCAATAATCAAAATTTTTTAGAGCTAAAAACGATGAACCTATTTTCCCCAATTATTATTAATAAATTATTTTATTGTTTTTTTTTTTAATTCAATCTTACTTTTATTTACACTAGGTTAAAAATATTTGACAAAGCGAATTTGATTTGTTTCTCTTTTCTATTTTCATTTTCAAACCCTCACCAAATATCGATTTACTCAAATACTACTTTTACATATAATTTCATTAAATATTTTTTACTGTTTCTATTGTAATTGCACGTAAGTGTTACTGAAGTATCACAAAAAGATCAAGACATTCAGTGACCGTCGTGACAAAAATTGCTATTGGCTTCCTTTTGAACCACATAAATGTATGGAGACATAAGAACATGGTCTTCGATAAGCCAGACTAAATACAAAATGCTATATACATAATATGCAAAGATACTTAATACTTTTTACAAATATTTTTTTTTGGACTATTCAAAAGTTGTACTCAAAACGACTACTAAAATCAATCAATCAATTACATACATATGTACATAGCAGCCAGCTATTTAAAGCTCTAAAGAAAGTGTGTGGACTCAATATATTTTTGATCTATTCGCAGCTGTTTCTGTCTGCTATGTACACTGTGTGTGTTAATCATACGCCCTGTAGGGTCATGAACAAGTTACTCATACGCACTGCGTCTCAGTCTGTTATCTAATGTCGAGTTCCAAGTGCAAAATAATATCCAACACAAGCACACGTTTACATACAAATATATGTAAATATGTATATATATGTATGTATGTATATACTATATAGTAGATGTGCTACTTTGTATAAGTACTATGGCCTGGTTCTTGAGAGCAGCACAAGAAGTTGCCGCATACGTATTTACATATGAATGTAGGTATTATATCGTATTTGTACATATGTAGTTGCATGGTTACGTCACAATTGATTGATGGCTTAAAGTTACACGTGGCTAAAAAAAACTAGTTTGTAACCGACTAGGACTAGATATATAGATGTTCATGCACAGATACAAACATAGCTATAGTATGAACATATTTGTTTGGTACAAAGGTCAGTTTTGCGCTAAGCTTCGTTTCATGGCATTCGAACTAACTGCATATATGTACGAACGATGATGTTCATATGTACATACATATGTACATATCGTCACATGAAATCCAAATGGTCGTAACTAAAAAAAAAATCAACATTTTCTTATTGATTGATTATGATGCATTTCATCGAATTACACGAGTCCCCACTCGTTTTATGGAAACAAAAAATTTTGTTTGTTACGAGTTTTTACATTTCAGGTGACGAAATGTATGTATGTATGTACACCTGTATGTTCATGTGATAACTGTTAAATTATATAAAACCGCCGCATTTTTATCATAAACGATGCTCGTCGACTGTGACGTTGGCACCATGGAATCGACCGCCGAACAAACGATGGAACGATCGACCCATCACAAGCAAGCGAGCTACCGACGGACCATTTTCGCGAAACGATTACAAACACTACCACCGCTGCCGCCGCCGCCGCCGCCAATGCTGCTGCTGTGGTTGCATAACCAGTATTCTTTGCCTCAAGTCACATAAAATATCTTTGATATCAGTCGCTTGAAATTTCGCGTTTATGCAAACTCACATATAAAACCACAAATTTGCAAAGTCCCGCTTCAAGCATTTTTTTCACAGCTACACTTTTAAATTGTAACTCTGAACCCATTCGAGTTGAAAGCTTTTTCAATGCTTCTGCATTAGATAATTGCACGATTTGCCAGCTGAGGCTCGCTTTTCGCTGCCTGGATACACAATTTAACGCTTTCAATTCATAATCATTTAGATCAAATGCTTGCCACCACAAAACTAGATTTGTTTAAATTATATTTAATTACAATTAAATTGGGATTACGTACTATTTATTTTTTGGTTTATTTTATCACAGTAACAAAATTATGTTAGTTGCTAATGCCCTCTTCCTCTTTCGAACGCTATGACTGCACCGTACGGCCGTTGAATTGCTTATGGGAATTTGGAAATTCTACATGGCGACGTTGAGTGTAACGACACTCAAAAAGCTGCGAAGCTCTACATACTAGCTGAGAATGTAAGCTTCCATGCACGGAAGTGTGCTTGTGAGTGGCAAGCGCGAACAGTGGTCCGTCATTCAAAGGAACGCATGCGCTTTCTTTCACCCAATCTCCACATGTTCGCCATTCACCACTTTCTACGGGGGAGAGATGGCGGAAGTGAGTACACATGAGCTTTCTTACACTTTTGCGAACGTTACGGCTTCTCTGAAGGCCAACGTCGAGAACACATTGACATCGTTGGTTTTATAACATTTTGAGCCACACGCTAGGTAACCTTTAAACCCCCACCTTTTCCCGCCTGCTGTACACCGTGTGCTTAACGCCCACATCTAATTGCTTTGTGTGAGCGGTGAGCACACATGAGTATAGAAGCCAGCAAAGAAAGCTTATTCTACATAAATACATACGTATGTATGTAGTTATAGTGTATACAAATAAGTCGAAAAAGCTTTGCTAATCTTTTTTTCTCTGGTTGCCTGTCAGTTTGACAATCCCGCAAAGCCACTTTGTAGTGGTCATGATCATATATAAGTAAAAAAGGTGATATAGAAATTAGAAATTTGTTCTCATTTGCGCTCCCATTGCTTTCTCACAGCTTTGATGGCCACGATTTAATTCTTACTCATTTTTTACACCCAATGTCAAATACAATAGCAGTGCAATAGAATCATTACATAATACCTTTTGCAGCATTTAAACAATAGTGGCATTGAACTAAAACTAAAATTAAATCTATTTCAATTATTTTGTGATTTGCTTGTGGCCTCAAACAAATATATATGTATGTAATTGATTTTTTTTTATTCTTTTTTTTTTTATACACTCAAGTATGTATTCGGGTTAGTGCTAAAAAAATAAATTAGCCGCTTGTAGGTGTAGCGCCAATATTGAGCAGTTTTTTGAGATAATAACGATAACAACAAAAAGTATACTAGTGGGGTATTATCGGTTTTTGGCTGTTTACGTAATATCAATTAAAAATTGATTGCGCTCACAAAGTAATTTAAGGTGATTGAGCAAATAAAACCTAAAAGTCATTAATGCCAGAGATTAACTTAGTAAAGAGATGAAGTAAAAATGGGCGCCATATCGCTACTAAGTAGCAACAGAACATACATGCACACATAGTATGAGCATATGGACGGATGTATGTATGTACATAGCCAGCCTAAACGCATGTGATCGTCTGGCATATGAAACTTTTGAATTTGACGTAAAACTTGCGATTCTTTTTAATAAATACATATGTACATATATACATACATACGCTCAATGCCTAAAGAAATTTGTGTACATTTGTACATACCTTTGTATGTACGTATGTTTACCATACTGCGCGAAATAATAGGTGCTAAAATACTATTTCATTATCAAAAGTTCATATTCAATCAATAATAACAAAACATAAAAAGCAAGAAAATGGTGTGAAATAATGCTAATGATTGGCGACAAGCATATGTCAAACGAATGTATGTATGTATGTACATATATGTATGTACTATGACCATACATACGTATTTTTTACATAATTTTATTTTCTTTGCGCCTTTATAAACCTGATAAGATAAAAACATGGCTACTGCGTAAATTCTTAAAGAAAAAAGCTCAAGATAAAAAGTTTCATGGTCAATTTAAAAATTTGTTAGTAGTGGATTTTCGACAGGAGCTTTGGAAGTAAAACATTTGTACATAAAAGGTACTGTGGTAAACATAAAAAGTATTTTCTTCTGGAAATAAAGTAAAAATGTCAGTATGAATCAAGGCATTACATAATTATTAGCATTCGTACATACATATATATGTACATTATACAAAATCCCCCTCATACTTGCTGGGGATTTTGACATAATAAAAATGTTCGTCCCTGTCGAGTCCTAAAAACAGCGAAAATCGAGTTTTGTTCAAAATTTTTATTCACTAGGAACCCGATTTCAAAGTACCTACTGCACATCACTGAAAAGATATTTTTAAGTGCAGTGTATCCTATTTTTTCTCTTATTTGTGTATGTACATATGTAAATATATGTACAGACAGCATACAGTATCGATCATATCAATATGAACCCCCTTTTCAAAGTGATATTGTTTTAAGTATTTATTTTTGAAGAATTTTCAATGAAAATACAGTTCATTCTCTAGCAAAACCCATACAATCCCAAGTTTAAAACTTTGTAAAATACAAATTTTCACCCAAATCCCAAACTTTTTTCTCAGAAGTGCTAGCTTATTCAATTGTAGTGTAATAATGTGCAAGTTCAAATAGCTAAAAATTACCGTTGACTTTTTAGCATATTTTTGTCACATTTGCTTCCACATAACGAATAAACACAATTTATTTTTGTATGAAAGAAACCCGCACCACCTTCGGCGAAAAAAATTCTAAAAAAATCAACGGTAATTTTTAGCCACTTGAAACTTGCACATTACCAGCCTAAAATTTAATGAGATATAAAACTGTGTACTCTTCTAATACTTCTGAGAAAAATTATTGAAATTTGATATGACCGATACTGTATGATGCATTTAAGCAGACAAAGTGAAACATTATGTAAATACACACATATTTTTGTGGAAAAGTTAATGGGTATACAAAAATATTTGCATTCCCTCTGCTACAGGACAAGGTATTTTTATGTTTTAAATTTTTGTGAGGATTAGTCGATGATGTGTAGAGTTTTTGGACAATATTTTTAGCGTTAGCATAAGAACTTCCTTTTCAATAAGATGCGCCAAAGGCTCTGCCAAATAATTTAGGTTTACACCAAGGCATATGCATATTGCAGCTATTGTTGTTGTTGTAGTGGCTGCTAATCCCCGCTCGAGTCGGCTCATCCATCTGCGTTGTCGTCTGGTTCAGCTAAGGGAAGGCCCAGGAAGTGCGCGACTTTAACAGGGACTGTCCATAGGGACAGGGGCGTTGTCAAATTTTGTATATTCAATGTGCCTTGAATTACACTAAATTTTCGTTTCGTGCTTAAAATACAGCCAAAACTCGACAATTGAATCAATGATTGAGACCCACTTTTGTTGCGTTTTAATTTATGTAGCTATAAGTTTAGGTAAAAACTATAATTATCTTAACTTATGTAAATCCTATAGAAATATACATATAAACTGTTTTGTTTACTTTCTTTAGAACGTTCCTGATGATATATTAACTTACATTCCATACGCATTTTGTTTATTCTGGCTGTGAAATTAGATTATTTGGAATGTATAAAGAAACGCAGCCATAAAAAAAAATTGTGATAAGTGATTTATAAAATTACTTGTCAAGGTAAAACCAATCAGAAACTTATTGTTTTCAAG